CCCTTTTGTTACATCTCTAAACTGTGTCGTATAAATGGTTAACTCAAGAGTTTGCTTTGAGTTATTTAAAACATGTTTATTAGTGATACTCAAAAAATATTATTAACAATTTAACATTAATTTAGTATTTAATTTAATAGTAATTTATTCTTTGAGACTCACTAAGTATTTTCTAATTTTTCTAGTGATACACAATTTGTTGACTTTTGAGTGGACTTTTAGTTATGAGTTTGGTGGGCTGCAATAACCCATTTCGAATCTCATTGTGTCAAAGTAGTGAGTCATCATCATCACCATGCCTGATCTTCCCTGCCTCTGCTTTCTGTTTGCGGCCACTCTCATCCTCGCCGCTGGAAAATCGAAGATCCAATTTTGATTTAAGGTTTTGTGATTTGGGGGTTTTTGACTATACATGCTTACCAAAGACCCAATTTTGATTTAGGTTTCTGAGATTTTGAAGATATATGCTTATCAAATATTCAACTTTTGATTTAGGTTTGAGATTTTGGGGATTTTGAACATATGTGCTTATCAAAGAATCTAATTTTTGATTTAAAGATAATCCCAGTGAATCGCTATGGAGAAGAGGATTCGGGAGAGAGAAGTTGTTTTCGATCAAGTGAGATTCTGATTTTTAGTTTGAATCAAAAAAAAAATGGTCCAATAAGAAACTGACATATGTCCTCAAAGAACCATATAGTTGTCTCTCTCCTTTGAGACGATTCACAAGAAAATATTTTCAATCATCAATTTTTTAATTACTTTTATTTAATGATACTCTTAAAGAATCAGGATAAACATGCTCTTAGTAGAATGCGTATTGAGAAGGAAAAAGCAAAAGTCTTTTAAACAACAAACACAAGACAATGGAGTTGAGATCCTTACTAAACTATACAAAACCTTGTAGCCAAAAGTGAGCACAAGGAAACTGTATTTGTCAGGTTTCAGCTTAATACGGTGTCGTATAATAGGAAACTGTTTTCGCATTGGTTAACTCAAGAGCTGCGTTTGAGAAAAAAGCTTTGAATTCTTTAAGCAACAAACTGCAGCATTACCAAACTAAACAAAAAATTGTAGCCAAGAGAAGCTGAAAGAGAGCACAAAGCACAAGTACCAGAACAGAGACCAAACTACATGCCTACCATTGTTGTTAAAGCTATAAAACTAACAGACACAACTTGTCTGAGATGAAAACAGAGCCATATTCATTCAAACCGGAAATCTATTTCTAAAGAAGATGAGTCCACTTGTCGATAGGGAAGAGTGCACAGTTTAAGAGAAGCTGATGTTATCAGGGAGAACTTGGATCTTGCATTTGGGCGAGGCTACTTTTCCAAGCATCTGAAGTTCGGTTGATAGTATATTCGGATCATCATCAATTGAAGTATCATAGTATATCATCACTTGTTCAAGATTGGGCATTGTCTCCAAGAAGTACTTGATCACCTCCTTTTGCTTATCCATCTCATCTTGTTCCTCCGAACTATAGATTTCTCCAAACTTCAAAACCTTTAGCATCTTCACCGGATTTGATGATAGGCAAGTACGAGTGTCTTCCCAAGGTTTGCAATGATTTGTTGTATCTTTGTAATGGAGTCCCTGAAGTATAATAAAGGAAATGGTTATTCAGAATTTAAGTGTGTTTGAAAGAAAAATATGCGTCAGCTAATGCAGGCAAAGGATGTGTGTTTGTACTCTGAAGACGAGGGTTTCAAGATTTGGACAATTCTCGAGTAGCTTCGGCAATAATTCCCATTGTACCTCTTTGTCAGTATCAATTGTTAAATGAATCAGGTTGCTGAAGACAGGTGCTGCTTTACAGCAGAAAGCAAGTACCTGAAACAAAAACCAAATCACTCATTTACAATCATTAACTCAACATATCCTAAAGCAATGCACTAACATACCTCAAGAGTAGTAGCGTATAAGTAAAGGATCTCAACATTGCATATTCCCATAAACAAATTTGTTGCATTTCCAGAATCTCCGGCTGGCTCGTCCTGATAATGTCTCATTCGAAGATCGAGATCCGCTTCAACAAGCGAATAATAATTCACTTTTGGATACTTGACAGCAACAGTGTCAGTAAAATCCAAGTAGACAAGATTTGGAGTATCAAATGAAACAGTCTTTGGTTTCCCATCAAAGTAATGAAAACAAACTTGTAGTCTCTTGAGGGTTGGGTTAGAAACCAAGAAAAAATCCAAAGAATAAAACTTGACCTCAATCATAACTAACTCCTCAAGCACATGACAACCAGAAACTAGCTTGGCAAATGCAGCACTCTCATTGAATGCAACACCAATAAGATACAAACTCTTAAGCTTTGGAAGAGAAACTTGTCCCACATCAATGGTGATTTCATCTGTACCTGTTAATTTCAGCTTAACCAATGTCTTGCTCATCAAGACCTCCGAAGGCAGCCGATAACCATATCCCATAGGAACTTTTAGCTCAAGATCTACTACGCCACGCACCAACACATTGAATATCCAACCATTGACACTAGATGGACCAGCACCAACTTCACAACTTAGAGAGAATTTGTTTACCGAAGCATTCCCTTGCAACGCCATAATTCTATCCACAAAAACCTGAAAACTTGTACGCATCTCTTCCCTTTTCAGGTAACCCAATTCATAACAGTATAAGACCTTGTCATCAAAATCCAGGTTTGGTACAAAAGCCAACAGATACCTCCACCTTCTAGACAGAACTGAAGTCAAAACAGCATCTTTTGTGGAGAGGAAGGACAAAATGTGGCAAATCAGAGCTTCTGGTAGATTGCTGATTAAATCTTCGTAACAAATATTCATCCTTTTTGAATCCATTGAGACAAATCAGAAATTCAGACCTGGAAGATGATGTAAGTAATTCGATCAGAGGATTTTAGAAGCTAAACTCAAACACACAACAAAGACGATGTCCTCAATGGCAAAACCAGTTTCAAAGGGTTTCAAGGTCAAGAGAAACACTCCAAACACGGCATTCTCTAATTGCAAAACACTTCTTTCAACAAGGTCTTGTCTTTTACACAATCGTAAGATTACCAAACCGGGAAAGAAACACAAAAACTATAACCACAAAAGCAAAATTGCTGGAGAAATTTGAAAGCAGCCATTGATTCCATGAATCAGCAGAAGAAATGGGAAAACTTACTTGCGCCAACTATTGATTCTTCTCAACATACGAACGAATCCGAGGTTTATTGTGGGAAATCAAAAATTAGGGTTTTTGTCAATCGTTGCGGGGTGTCGTATAATAGGAGTGCACAGTAGATGAGAAGCTGATATTATCAGAGATTACTTGGATCTTGCATTTGGGCGAGGCTACATTTTCAAGCATCTGAAGTTCAGTTGATTGTATACTCAGATCATCATCAAATGGAGTATCCCTGTATAACATCACTTGTTCGAGATTCGGCATTGTCTCCAAGAAGTACTTGATCACCTCTGTCTGCCTATCTCCATGTCATCGTTGTAACTATAGATTTCTCCAAACTTTAATACCTTTAGCGTCTTCACAGGGCTTGATGATAGGCAAATCGGAGTACCTTCCCAAGGTTTGCACACGCATCTATCCCCATCCTCGTCCCAACATTTGTTTGTATCGTTGTCTCATCTTCACATTGATTTGTATCTTTGTAATGGAGTCCCTGAAATAAGTTGAGGTCCAGGCTGGTCGTCTTCGTTAAGTTTCAGAGCAATAAAAATATGAGATTGATATTAAAACCTCAAGAGTCTCGGACGATAAGTAAAGGATCTTAACATTTCTAATGCCCGTAAGAAAATCTTCTGCATTTCCATCCATTTCTTCCTCACCATCTACAGAATCTCTTGCCCATTTTTTCTGCATAGGTGTCAATCGAAGACCACCGAGGCGGGCTTCAACAAGCGAATTAAAATTCACTTTTGGATACTTGATCACAACGAGATCAGTAAATTCTAAGTAGACAAGATTTGGAGTATCAAACGATACATTCCGTAGATTCTCACCACAAATCGTTACTCTCTTGAGGGTTGTGTGAGACAGAGAGCAAAATTTCGAAAGTCCCCACATCAAATTAATCATAAACTAACTCCTCCTCAAGCACAGAACAGCCCGAAAGTAGCTTGGCAACCTTAACACCAGTCTCTTCGAACACAATATAATCAAGAAGATACAAAGACTTAAGCTTTAGAAGAAAAACATCTTCAATACCAAAAATGGTGAACTCTTCATTACCTCCTCCTAGTTTCAGACTAACCAACTTTTTGCTCATCAAAACCTTTGGAGGCAGCGGATAGTCACCATTCGAAGAGATGTATATATCAAGATCTAAAACACCACGATCCAACACATTAGCTATCCAACGATCGACGCGAGCTGAATCGTAACGAGTTTTACACCGTAGAGAGAATTTGTTCAACAGAGCATTCCCTTGCAAAGCCATGGTTCTTTCCACAAAAGCCTTAAAACTAGGACGCATCAAATGGCATTTTCGTGTACCCTTTCTAGGATGGTTATAGATCGAGCTATCAAAGTCTAGATTCGGTACCAAAGCCAACGAAAAACGCCACCTTTTCGAGAGAATTGATGTCAAAGCAGCATCTTTTGTGGAAAACTAGAGCGTCTGGTAGATTGCTGATCAAATCTTTGGAACAAGTTTGCAACTTTTTCGAATTCATTACAACCTGTACAACAATGTGAGCTTGCGCAAGTAATTCAATCAAAACACAGAACACAACAAATCCGAGAGGTTTCAATTAAAATCTGACACTAAAAAAGCACAAAAAAAAAAATCAGAATAAGAAAATGAGAACTTACTTGTGAAGAAAATTAGAAATCTTGAGAACTGAAAACCCACAAGAACAATTCCAGCTCTCGGATTCAGAGGTTTGAATGCTGGAGTGAAGTGAAAAATTGAAAATTGAAACTGGGTTTATGCAAAAACGAAAATCCATTTCCTTAACCATTTCCCAACTTTGGTTACTAAATTATTATTATTGGCTAATAAATATTTTAGTGGGCCCTAGCTATGATTTGTTGCAAACTATGGCGCTACGTAGAATAACTAAGAGCATAATCAACGATGCTAAATTTGGAGTGTTAAGATTATTTAATTGTTTTTAACCTTTAGCAACCCATTAAAAAATCCACTAACATCCATTATTGATGATGCTCTAACGCAACACAAGAACTGAAACAAAAAGAAAAATGACAAGTTTTCCAAGTACGATGCTGAACAAAACAAGGCAAAAAGAAAAAAAAAAAGATAATCTTGAACAGAGTTTTAGATCATTTTAGCAAGTATACAGCATGAGAAACTCTTTCTCTTTCTAAGGAAGAGAAAGCCATTTCGTCGTTAAGGAAGAGGGAAGAATACATGACAAGCTGAGATGATCAGAGATTATTTGGACATTGCACTTTGATGAAGCTACTTTACGAAGAGCCTGAAGTCGGGCTGACACTTCAATTATCACGTCTTCCTCAATTAATGTATCATAGTATAATATCAGCTGCTCAAGATTCGGCATATGCTCTAGAAAATGCTTGATTTGATTTATCTGCTCCTCTATACTGTGAAAAAGGTTTGTACGTAACTTCATTATCTTCAACACCTTCACCGGGCTTGATGATAAGCAACTAGGAATCTCTTTTGCCTCCTCCTCCTAGTCTTCTTCCACATCCAACCAACCTTTGAAAGGTTTGCACAAGCACACATCCCCACATCTAGATGTGGTCATGTGTATGAGTCCCTAAAACATATGCGAAACATCTCAAATTTTGGAAAAAAAATGAGTCAAAAAATGCTATTTAGGGGATTGTTTCATACTAGCAAAATGAGAGTTTCCAGATTTGGAGAGTTCTTGAGCAGATCCGGTAATGATTCCCATCCTATGTTCAGGTCACTCTCGATGGTTAAATGAGTCAAGTTGTTGAATAGCGGTATTGCTTCACAGCAGTAATTGAGTACCTGAAACGTATATCAACTAGATCATCATCAGCCATTTGCACGCACAATTAACTCAAATCCTTAAGCAAAGTTAAAAATATTACAAACCTCAAGAGTGTTGGAAGATAGATAAAGGGTCTTCACATTGCATATTCCCATTATAAAATATGTTGCATTATCTTCAAAGCGATGTATCAAATCATGATTCCAAGCATTGTGTTTTGCTCGTGCCTGATCATTTGACATCCTAAGATTGATTTTGGCCTCAACAAGCGACCCGAAATTCAGTTTCGGATACTTGTCTGCAATAGTATCAGTATATTCCAAGTAAAGAAGATTCGGAGTATCAAAAGACACATTCTTTGGACTCTCATCACACGCTCTCCAGAAGATCTCTAGTCTCTTGAGAGTAGCGACAGAGACAGAGGCAAACTCCCATGCAGAGCAAGATACACCATTCAAAACTAAATCCTCAAGCACGTGACATCCAGAAAGAAGCTTGGAAAGCCCAATACCACGCTTTTCAAAATCGACTGACTCAATACAAAGAGTCTTAAGCTTTGGAAGATCAACATCTTCAAAATCCATGGTGGAACCGAATCCAAATTTTAGTGTCAGCCTAACCAGTGTCTTGCTCAAGAAGTTCTTCGAAGGAACCGGAGATTTCGATCCCAGTTTCATGTCTAGACTAAGATCCGATACACCACGCCGCAACACATTGAGAATCCAATTAAAGATACGGTTTCGATCAACTGGATGATCGCCATATTCGATCTTTAGAGAAAACTTGTGTACAGGAGAATTACCTTGCAAAGCCAATAGTCTATCCACAAAATCCATAAAACTCGTAGAAACTCTCCTCTTTCTCAGACTAACTTGTAGTTTATAGAGAGTATTTATAGGAACCTTTTTCTCTTGAATCAGATAAACAGAGTCATTGAAGTCAAGATTAGAGACAGAAGCAAAGAGATACCGCCATTTTGTCGAGAGAACCGATGTAGAAGCAGCTTCTTTAGTGGGAAGGAAGGACAAGATGTGGCCAATAAGACCGTCTGGTAAACCACTTATCAAATCTTTAGAACCACCAATGTCTCTCTTTTTCGAATCCATTGAGTTTACAACCTGAAAACCAAGTTTTTTGTTGTTTCTTGATAAAAGAAAATGACAACTTTTTTCGTTTTTGTTGATAAAAGAAAATACCCAAAGAAGTTCTATTTCAGTTTTTTGAATGACAAAGGAAACAAAGGGTTTATGCAATCGTATGAGTTAAGCGATGTACATCATCAGTTTGCCTTTACGATATTGGGTTGAATATCATTTGAAGAAGTTTCGGATGAAGGAATCGTTCTCTTTCATGTTGGTGGGTTTTTCTTTCATATGGGTGCTTCTCTTTTTTCTAAGCTTATTTATTCTTATCTTCCGAGTTAGACTTAGCTTCGATTTCTCCCGTCAGTGTCATGTTTTGGGCTTTGTCTCCCGATAGTCATTTGGGCTTTGTTTTTTTCTTTTGGGCTTTTGGTATTGAACGGATTTGTCTCGGCATGTTTATATGTATATTGCATTTTCCTCGTTTTGGTTACTAAATTTATATTTGTGCTAATAAATATTTTGTTTAATGGGCTATGATTTGTTGCAAATTCTAGGCTTGAGTTTATATTTTTATTTACATGGGATATGAGTATGGTATATAGATTATGGTATGACAAAGAAAGGGAAAAAAACCTCTAAAAAGTAAAAACCATTTCAATTTTAATCTATTGTCATATTTCTTCAACTGTATAATCCTTCTATATGCTCAGTAAGTATCATTATTATCGATCAAGAACTGAAATAACTTCAATGTAACAACTGAACTGAAACATTTTGTTTTTCATATTAACATTACATAAGAACTGAAACAAAGAAAATATAAAGTTATTGTTGTCTCTGCCAAAAGGACAAAGTCTAAAAACACAAATTTTTCTACTATGATACTGAACAAAACAAGGCAGAGACAAGAGAATCGTGAACAAGGTTTTATTTCATCTTAGTGACTATACAAAACTTGCAGCCGAGACACATGATAATAGTAAAAATGTCCTGAGAAACTCTTTCTAAGGAAGAGAAGCCCATTTCATCGATACAGAAGAGGGCACAATAGATGACAAGCTGAGATGATCAGAGATTACTTGGACATTGCACTTTGATGAAGCAACTTTAGGAAGTCTCTGAAGTAGACTTGACACTTCAATCAAGTCTTGGTCAAATGGTGTATCATAGTACAATATCAATTGCTCAAGATTCGGCATCGTCTCTAGAAAGTGCTTGACTTGCTCTATATGCTTCTTGAGTTGTTTAATCTGCTTCTCTATTTCGTCATCAAAGATTTCACCAAACTTCATTATCTTCAACACCTTCACCGGACTTGATGATAAGCAAGTAAGAATA